ACCGCTTTTTTGAAAATGGTTAACTGGTTTTTCGGTTAACCAAAAAACCGGTTTTCCCTAAAACTAGTTCGGTTTCGGTTTGGGAATTTTCCCGAACTGAAAATCTGGTTTGGTTTAGAAAAGCAGTTAACCGCTTTTGAACACCCCTAGTAACTACACCTCTATTAAGTTATAACCTCCTCATAATAATAAAATTAATTAATCCTACCATTATGACTATAGAGAGGTTTTACTATATATATATATATGCTAGGAGCTAGACTTTTGGAGTGAGTTCTACCGAAGCCCATTTATCACTTTCAACATAAAACACTATCTTAATTAAAAAAAAAAAAACAGAAAAATTTTTCAGGAGGCCAGTAGAAGAAAGAGTGACCGTGACACTTGCAGTAGAACCCAAGCACAATCTTCATCTAAAATTCAACAATTGTGCTTCATTAGAAGAACAACTGCCTGCCTATCTACAAAAGACAAACCAAATGGATTTCTGAAAACATTTATAATTGGTCTAATCCAAAGACTTAGGCTAACCTATGTAGTTACAGCTTACAATAACTTCATTGATCCATAACATGAATTGATATGGTTTAGGTGATAGAATTAATTGACAGACCTGAAATAGCAGAATGATGAATGGAGAAAATATTGGATTATCTCTTTTTTTGTTTGAGAGATCAAGTGAAGTTCATTCATTCTTTCTCGTATGGATTATAGATGAACTTCTTACCTATATTAACAAAAGAGAGGTGTGCTATCTTGAACCTAAGTAACAGTCTTATAACAAGAAGAAATATCAGCAGCTCGTTTTCTGCAAAGTAACAACAAACCACGGCCATGGCCATAGCAAATCATAACCTTAGAAAGGCTTTAAGAGAATCCTTGGCAACAAAAATTCAGACATTTGAACCACAATACAACCCAAAAACTGCAGATCTTGATTATTGCAAGGCTAAACAGGATTCCAGCATTTGAACACCAACACCAAATTGCAGAAAGCAGCAGCTAATGAAGCCAATAATAGAAACTTTCAACGAAACAAAACTCTCATTACAGATAACTTTTGAAGTATTTATTTATTATTTTTATCTCCTTTATTAGGGAACCTCAATGGTACCAGGAAATTTTATTAATTGATTAAAAAATATACACCTAGACAAGGGGGGACATAATGAACCTTACCCTTCTTGAAAAATCCTATTACAATAGGTAAACACAGAAAATGCAAATGCATGCAATTACATATAAATAAAAAAAGAAAAGAAAAGAAAATATAATCCAAAGCTCTACCGAGAAGACTGTAATGTTGCCAACCACATCCGAATCAGCTTCATTTGTCTCATTAAAAGAAGATCTACCTATCCACAAAACACAAACCAACTGGATGTTAATGAAACCCTGATAAACTGCTCCATGTCTAAAGACTTTAGACTACTGATATCAAGCTTACTCTTGGTCCACTCATCAAAAGCATGAACTGATAATCTGAAAGCAAACTCAAATATTGCAACCATAGTACCAGAAACTTTATTTTTAACCAAACTTATAATCTATTGAGAATGTCAGAATTTGACTCATTCCTTAATTTTTCTGTTATTACATTTTAATGCGGCAAGCATGAAGTCTTAAATTCTGACGGGAATTTGTATTCCAATTCTGGATTAAATTGGCCACTCGCTTCAAAATGATACATTCCATCCCATGAAAGATTGAGCTCCACCCATTATTAGAGGAAAGACTACCTGTCAACTAAGCACAAATCAACTGGATTTCTTTATAAAACATTGATGTTGCAAAGAAAGGAATCAGAAGAAACAGGATATAAGAAACAGGTTTTACCTTTGCCATCGCAACTTCTTTTAAGATCACTCACTAATAGAATGAAAAGCTTTGAAGACTTAGATTCCAAAAAAATGATGTACTTCAATTGATAAGTTGCATAAATTTAGTGTTTTTAGGTTTGTTTTTATAGCCTTCTAGTTAATTTGTCATTTGTTTTCTGTGTTTTTATGTTAGTTTTTGTTAAGTTTGAAATACGAATGGTTAGCTATTGATTTGGAGAATTTTGTAATTTTCAGGCGTTAATTGAGTAGATTGAAGCGTTGGAATGAAATTGGAACTCAAAGCTTGAAGAAATTGAGATTAACTGACAAGTTTGAAGGCCATGGCCTTGCCTTGGTGGTTCACCACGGCCATGGTGGTTGAATGAAAATAAAATAACGAGGACAGAAAACACCATGGCCTAGGTTGTGGTGATGTACATTTGGACACGGCCAAGGCCGTGTCGGACACTTTTAAGGTTTTTGGTAGCGTGCCGAATGCACCAAATTAATTAACCTTACTGACCTAACTATTGAATTGTATAAAGGGCAAGCAAGGGTCGATCCCACAGGGAATGACTCGATTAATTTCTATATTGTAAAACAATAAAAAAAACAGAAACGCAAATTAAACTTTAAACAGAAAACCTGACAACAGTAATGAAAGGGGGTTTGTAATCAAGGCAAACAAAAGTAAAACAGAGAAATAAAATATCAGGTTAAACAATCAGTTCTCGGTTCAATATCCGCCTAAACATGCATTGGACATAAAGTAACTGTAACACTGTTCTATCTCATCATTATGAAACTACTGACCCTAGGAAACAACAAGCTCTGTTACCCGAATTCTCCCTTAGTTTGTCACTACAGAAACAAGCTCTTCGAGTAGATACTAACCCTTGAACAACCTAGAACAAGCTCTCTAAATTTAATTCAATGGCAGCCTTAAGAATTAGGAGAATAGATCAATCTAAGCAACAATCACGCAAGCTCGGATTATTTAACTTAGGTTATGTTATTCAAGACAATAGACCGAAAACTTGTCCATAATCAGCTATCATCATGTGTCACTCGTTGAATAGAAAAAGGACAATTACGGATCACAATTCCTAATTCTAACAGGTAATTCTGATTAACAATTTAGCATGCCAAAACTAAATCACTCAAACAAGAATACAAACAATTAAAACAGAATAACATAAACAATTCCAATAAAAACGAGATTAAGAACAATGTTACTAGAGTCAGGTTACACCAATGACATGAAATTAGGTTCAAAATCCCCTTGAACTGAAGAAGGAAATTAGCGCACATCGATGTAGAAAGCAAAAAGACTAAAAGAAAAACTCTCGCTCTCTCTCTGTTTAACCTAAAAACTCTAATTAAATAACATGTATTTTCCTTAATTCTCCCAAGAATCACGGAATTTCTTTCCTAGACGTTTCCTAGAAGATAGACTTCCAGATTTGATAAAATCTTATAGATATGGATTCCAGAATTCGTCTCCAGCTTGCACAAAGTTCTCGCAATGTAAAAGATCTTTTCTGGGCTCCATCACTTCATAAAAATTGTAGTCTAGGATGTGTAGATGAATCTGGGCTTTTGAATCACCCGCTTTCGAATCCGACGCTCCAGTTAGGCCCGTTTGAAGATCGATGATCAGCTAAGGAATCCTTCTGCGACTAGGATTCCAGTCCGGTTTTGCAACAACAACTGAAAACCCAAACGAACTCGGATTCTACTATAAACCTTCCTGAAAAGCTTGATTTGTCCTTAATTTCTCTGCAGACCACTTTTGCAATTGAGGAATCTAGCTCCATGAAAAACTGGAAAACGCAGCACTGGTCAGCATAACGAAAAATCTGGAAAATCTGGAATTTCCTAATCTTTTATCACTTACTCCTAAAGTCTATCCAACTATGCCAAACTCACAAAAAAACTCTAATCAATTCAAATAGGCAAAAACATACAAAAAACATAAAATGGAAGGAATAAAAATATATCAATTACACTCGTACAGGTTTTTATTAGTTTTTCTTTCCTTTTTCGTTTAGAACTATTTTGGGTATTTAAGGATGATTAAGATTACTCCTTAGGAGGCCGAATTTTACCCATTCTTGGAGAGAGATTATTGTGTAACAAAAGAGAAAGGAGAATCAAGAACAAAATTCATCAAAGAGTTTGTTTTTACTTTTCAATATGATTTATTTCTTGGATTCTACTCTTGTTTCTTTTATTATGAACTAATTTTCTCAGGCTAAGACTAGGGTTAGTCTATTTATGGATCTGTGATCAATCTTTTACTCTTTGGTTAGTGAATTATTTTTCTAATGATGAGTTTATATTATGTGCTTAATGCTATTAGGAACTTGATAAATTTCTGATAGAATTGTTTTGTGTGATTGAGACCGAGAGGAGATATCACATGAGTGCTCTAGTGATATAGGCCATGGATTAATTGGATATAGAGATATATGAATTGATACATGCAATAGTCATAGGCAGGATTAACTTGTGCTGAAAGCTAGAGGATTTCATAAAGCTTAATGCTCGTCTGTTTTATTAAATCTATATAGAGATATCTAGGTTATGAATTAGAAGTAGAATTAATATTGCTTGAGAAAATATATTGGTTAACCTAGGAAATCCCGTTGTCACATTAATTAAATAAATTCATTGACCATAGTAAATTGAGCGGTGCAAAGAAGTTATAGATGAGCCCGAAGTCTTAGCCGTTTTCTCTCATTGAATTCTCAATTTTAGTTTTACTGCAATTTGTTTCCAATATTTCAGATTTTAATATTTTCAGTTTTAAAGATCACCATTCTAAGTTTTGATTATCTAGATAAAGTTAAGACTAGTTCGTATTTCAGTATTTGTTTACGCAATCCCTTGGGTACGATAACCTGTATTTTGTTACACTTTATTACTTGACACTAGTGCACTTGCTAGTAGTTGTTGCAAACGACACAACAAGTTTTTGGCGCCGTTGCCGGGGATTGTAGTTAGGCAATATTGAAATCATTAGTTTAGCTTTACTTTAGATCTTGTTCCATTCTTTTTTTATATTTATATAATTTTTTCTTTTTCAAGTTCTCTTGTTTTCAGATTTTCCAGTGTATGACACACACTAGACGAAGATTAGAGATTCTTAAACCTTTTGATCCAGAAATTGAGAGAACAATGCGAGCATTGAGAAGAAGGCAAACAAGGAATATGACAGATAATAATAATAATCAAGTGGATCATTTACTTTTAGAGAATCTCGAAGAAGATGCAGCCCTACGTTCTTTAATGGATTATGCAATGTCGTCATTGAGGGGCACTGCTTCTAGCATTAGGAGGCCAGCCATTGCAGCAAATAACTTTGAAATTAAATCTACGATTATTCAGATGATTCAGTCATCCTGCCAATTCAATGGTTTAGCCCACGCGGATCCAAATGCTCACATTGGAAATTTCTTGGAGATATGTGATACATTCAAGCAGAATGGTGTCACAGATGATGCAATTAGATTGAGACTGTTCCCTTTTTCCTTAAGAGATAAAGCCAAGAATTGGCTAAATTCTTTGCCTGCATAATCTATTACAACTTGGGATGCATTGGCTCAGCGCTTTCTAGCTAAATATTTTCCTCCCTCTAAAACGGCAAAGATACGTAATGATATCACTAATTTTATGCAGATAGATGGAGAGTCATTATATGAAGCATGGGAGTGTTACAGAGAGTTGTTGAGGAAATGTCCGCATCATGGATTACCAATTTGGTTACAAGTACAAACTTTTTATATTGGTTTAATTCCTGCTAACCGTTCTATGATTGATGCATCTTCAAGAGGCACTATAATGAAGAAGACACCAGAAGCAGCGTATGAATTATTGGATGAGATGGCTTCAAACAGCTACCAATGGCAGTCTGATAAAGTGCCACAAAGGAAGGCAGCAGGATTATATGGAGTAGATGCAATCACAACAATTTATGCTCAATTGGAAGCATTGAACAAAAAGATTGATAATATGAGTGCCCCAATCATGCAAGTGAAGAGCATGAGTTGTGATCTATGTGGAGGAGACCATCTTAGCAATGAATGTCAGGTAGGTAACCATTTTGCTAATTCTACTGAAAGTGCTAATTGTGTTGGTAATTTTTACAGGCAACAACAGGATAATCCCTACTCCAGTACTTACAACCCTGGTTGGCAGAATCACCCCAATTTTTCATGGAGCAATCAAAATGCAGTGAAACCACCACCTCCAGGTTTTCCTCAAGAAAAGAAGCCTAATTTAGAGGAACTAGTGACGAAGTTTGTGAGCTCCACTGAAGCAAGATTTCAGAATCAAGAAGCTTCGATCAGAAATTTAGAGACTCGGATGGGGCAGTTGGAAAATTTAATATCAGGGAGAGCTCAAGGAACGTTGCCTAGTGACACAGAGAAGAATCCAAAGGAGCATGTGAAGGCAATTACACTAAGGAGTGGCAAAGAAATTGGGCATAAAGAGCAAGAGAAAGAGGAAGCACCGAAAGTGCAACCATACAACATTGCTGAAAAGTTGTTTGAACCTAAGAAGATAGTGATTCAGCCTCCTTTCCCTCTTGCATTGAAGAAGCAAAAAGTTGATCAGCAATTTGCAAAAATTTTAGATATTTTTAAGAAATTGCACATTAATATTCCATTTGCAGATGCTCTTCTTCAGATGCCTAGCTATGCAAAGTTCTTGAAGGAAATCCTTTCTAACAAGAGAAACTGGAAGAGCAAGAAACAGTAAAACTCACTGAAGAATGTTCAGCAATTTTGCAAAATAAATTGCCACCAAAATTAAAAAATAAAGGGAGTTTTACAATACCTTGCATTATTGGTTCACTTTCATCTTCCAAAGCTTTATGTGATTTAGGTGCTAGCATTAATCTAATGCCTTTATCTATTTTCAAGAAATTGGGACTTGGAGAACCAAGAGCCACCATAGTATCTCTACAACTGGCTGACAGATCAATTAAATATCCAAGAGGTATTGTGGAGGACGTGCTTGTCAAGGTAGATAAGTTTATTTTTCCTGTAGATTTTCTTGTGTTGGATATAGAAAAAGATGTTGAGATACCTCTCATTCTTGGACGACCATTTTTAGCCACAGGTAGGGCATTGATTGATGTGCAAAGAGGTGAGCTAATTCTTAGGGTAGGAGATGAAAAAGTAACATTTGATGTTTTTAAAACTATGAAACACCCTTTAAAAGATAACACGTGCTTTAGAATTGATGTTTTTGATCCTTTGGTTCATGAGTATTTGCAAGATAACAGGTATGAAGATCCATTGGAAACTTGCTTGGTTGATTCAAAAGAAGATGGAGGGGAGAATAAGCACTTAATTGAGATTGTAACAAGTTTGGAGGCCAATCCACCTTATAAAAGGGTCATGTTGAAGGATAAAAAGCTTGCAAAGTCCAGCCTTCACCACAGGGTACCCCGTGTCAGTTTACACAACCATGGCTTTCAAAAAAAAAAAAAAAAAAAAATCCCTAAAGCCTAGCATCACAAGTGTCAATGACTGCCTGCTCATTCATGGAGCCATTTGACCACCTTATGAACCCAAATTCCTAGTAGGTTTGTCCTCTCACTTCAGGGAAGTTTCTGTCTCTCATTTTTCAGTTTTTTTTTTTTTCTTCTTTTTGTTTTTCATGCACTGAGGACATTGCATCCTTTAAGTTTGGGAGAGTGAGCGGTTTGGTTTGTGTTACATTGTTGATGGTTTATTTCATTTGTTTGGTGTGTTTGTTTTTAGGAAGTGCTTAGTCTGTTTGTTTTTATTTTATTTTATTTTTGTTTGGTTTGTATTTAGTATTTGTTGCATGGTGGGTAGTATGCTTATGCTGTTAATACAATCCCGAAAGAGCTAGACTTTGTGATATTCCCAAAAAAGAAAAAAAAAATTTGCTTTTTGTAATGAACTTGGTAATCACTTGGAGTAGTGGTAGTATCAAGTCATTGAAAGAATTCAAACATGCTTATATCTTTAGGAATGATGAAGAGTATGCAATTCTAGATGGTTGTGCAAATTATGGTTGACTACTTGATTTTGTTGTGTAATAGCCGAGCCTTGTCTTCACTCACTAGTCTTAAAAANTTCTTGAAAAATCCTATTACAATAGGTAAACACAGAAAATGCAAATGCATGCAATTACATATAAATAAAAAAAGAAAAGAAAAGAAAATATAATCCAAAGCTCTACCGAGAAGACTGTAATGTTGCCAACCACATCCGAATCAGCTTCATTTGTCTCATTAAAAGAAGATCTACCTATCCACAAAACACAAACCAACTGGATGTTAATGAAACCCTGATAAACTGCTCCATGTCTAAAGACTTTAGACTACTGATATCAAGCTTACTCTTGGTCCACTCATCAAAAGCATGAACTGATAATCTGAAAGCAAACTCAAATATTGCAACCATAGTACCAGAAACTTTATTTTTAACCAAACTTATAATCTATTGAGAATGTCAGAATTTGACTCATTCCTTAATTTTTCTGTTATTACATTTTAATGCGGCAAGCATGAAGTCTTAAATTCTGACGGGAATTTGTATTCCAATTCTGGATTAAATTGGCCACTCGCTTCAAAATGATACATTCCATCCCATGAAAGATTGAGCTCCACCCATTATTAGAGGAAAGACTACCTGTCAACTAAGCACAAATCAACTGGATTTCTTTATAAAACATTGATGTTGCAAAGAAAGGAATCAGAAGAAACAGGATATAAGAAACAGGTTTTACCTTTGCCATCGCAACTTCTTTTAAGATCACTCACTAATAGAATGAAAAGCTTTGAAGACTTAGATTCCAAAAAAATGATGTACTTCAATTGATAAGTTGCATAAATTTAGTGTTTTTAGGTTTGTTTTTATAGCCTTCTAGTTAATTTGTCATTTGTTTTCTGTGTTTTTATGTTAGTTTTTGTTAAGTTTGAAATACGAATGGTTAGCTATTGATTTGGAGAATTTTGTAATTTTCAGGCGTTAATTGAGGAGATTGGAGCATTGGAATGAAATTGGAACTCAAAGCTTGAAGAAATTGAGATTAGCTGACAAGTTTGAAGGCCATGGCCTTGCCTTGGTGGTTCACCACGGCCATGGTGGTTGAATGAAAATAAAATAACGAGGACAGAAAACACCATGGCCTAGGCTGTGGTGACGTACATTTGGACACGGCCAAGGTTGTGTCGGGCACTTTTAGGGTTTTTATTAATTTTTCTTTCCTTTTTCGTTTAGAACTCTTTTGAGTGTTTAAGGATGATTAAGATTACTCCTTAGAAAGCCGAATTTTACCCATTCTTGGAGAGAGATTATTGTGTAACAAAAGAGAAAGGAGAATCAAGAACAAAATTCAACAAAGAGTTTGTTTTTACTTTTCAATATGATTTATTTCTTGGATTCTAAAAAAAAAAAAAAAAAAAAAAAACAAAAACATCTGCTTCCCACTGAAAAACAAAATATTAATAACGGGGAGTACAATAGCATTACAACCTAACTAGTTGCAAGATGAGTGAAAGGTTACTTCACGCCACTTCAAATAACATTTTATGTGCAATGTGGTGAGCTCTGTTATTAGCCTCTGTTCTCACAGAGCTGAAAAACAGTAAAACCTATAAAACTGCAAGAACAACATTTTTACTAATTACCTCACTTCGAAACTTTGTACACTGCATATACATTCATGTCATACTGCATCCCGGAGTTGAGACTGTTTTGTTGGTCCCTGCAACAACAACGTAATTGTTAATGAACACTCTGTTTTGTGAAAATCTAATTGTTTTGATAAAATCTAATGTTGTGGGGTTCTAGAAATTGACAGACCTGAAGGGCCCATAAGAATGAAGTGAGGTAATTGACAGATTCAGCCTTTTTCATTCTGAAAGCAAATTGACTTCATTCTTCTTCCTCTGGATCGTAAATGAACTTGTTATCTATCTCAACACAAGGGATGTGCGTTATCTTGGGCCACTCTTGTCCTTTATCCCTTTTGCAACGTTGTTTCAGCAAAGGACAATCAGAAACCCATAGTTCCAGAAGCGAGGATGGAAGGTCTGGTAAGTGCTCAACACGTGCATTGTTGTGCTTCAACCCCCCGTGTAATGATGTGATAGCATGACATCTACTAATTTCAACTTTTTTCGGAATGGAAAGCAAACCATCTGGAAACAAAACAAGATTCGGAAGCTCTGCCATGTACAGCTCTTTAAGAGAGGTGAAGCTCTGGGAACCTTGTAGTGGCTTCTCAAGAAAAATCTCATTTCCCCACAAATGTGTGAGCTCTTCCTAACCAACAATTTTCAGAGTTTCTAATTTCTGAAATCCCTCCCTGGTCCAACTTCTAAACCTTGGAACATTTGATTCTTCACTAATTCAGGACTCACTCGAGCTATTGCAAACCATGCCTTTGCTGCATCTTCTTATATTCAACGAGCGGAGCACTGGAAGGCTTGAGAGAGAAATCCCTAATTCCTCACATTTATCAATCACAACAGTCTCCAATAAAGGAAGAGGGTTCAGTGTTCGGGAGTCAATTGGACCATTGCATAACACGCTTTTGCACCTTTCTATTACTAAATGGCAGAGCATTGAGAAGCTTGTGAACGAAACCACCAGTTGCTCACAATTTGTAATAACAAGTTTCTCTAATGAAAGAAGACGGTTAGGTAATCTATCTTTCAGAGAGTTTAGGACATCGTGATATGGAAAGCTGTTTGAGACAAGAGAACCTTTCAACATGCTCCTTTTCTTCAAAAGGATCCCAATGCTCCCATTCTGGCAGATTCTCAAAACTAAGAGTCTAGTAATTGAAAACAGTCTGAGCAACTCTCCCCATACACCTCACCTATTTTTTTAAGCATTTTCATCCCTTTGATGGTGAGGTTTTTAAGTGAGCCTATTAGCCCAATGGAAGGCAAGGTCTTGCGACTTTCACATCCATCCAATTTCAGAGAAACCATATTAGAGAATGATGGATCTCCTATCCAAGATGAAATTTTTTTGCCACAAAAGTTATTGATTGTGAGCTCTTTAAGATTTGTATGGGGTTGTAAAATGTCAAGAACAATTTTCTCAACTTCTTCGTCTCGTGAAGCATGAGAAGAACTCCATTCTAGCACTAACACTTCCAAGTCCTTCTTATCACACAATATAGAATCTCTTGTTTCATGACAATCAGTTGCATTGTCTAACCTTGAAGTATAAAGTTCTCCACGAATAAACTTTAATTCTTTCAAATCTTTCAAACTAGATACGACACCTTCACCCACAACAAAATTAGATAAAGTTCGAATACATTTCAGTTTTTTCACTCCCAAAGGCATTTCTCTTATAAGTCTTGCACCTCTAATATCAAGATGGCGAAGATTGACCAAATCTCCCATTTGTAAAGGCAACTTTTTGAGATGAGAACAACATTTTAATAACAAACATTGTAAATTGAATAGTGAACTTGTTGACTCAGGTAGATTTGAGACTTGAGTTTTAGAAAGATTAAGATACCTAAAATGTTTCAAATCTCCAATTGAGTCGGGTAGTTCAATTGCATGATAGTTTGTTAAAGATAGTGATCTCAATTTTTTGAGCTTTGGAAATAAATTGGGAAAGGCTGACTAACTTACGTAAGTCCAATCCACGCTTGGCCTTGGTAGCCAAAATATTGTCAGGAATGTCCGTAGCTGCTCAACTTCATGGAAGACTTTGAAATCCTTCTCAACTTCATACCTTCTAAATATGTAAGAAGGGTGTCGAATCTTTTCAAGTTTTTCTATTTGTGCGACACTTGATTCATCCTCAAATCTAAAACTTGTATCTCGAGAAATCCATTGGGCCAATTCATGGACAAGGTCATGCATCACAAACTTTAAACTATCATTACTCAATTGTTGAAAAATTGACCTTGACAATGTTGAAGTAAATGATATTTTGCTGGAAATCATTTTGCATGGTTGGTTTGAAAGTTTGGCGCCAGGTTTTTGAATTAAAAGGGCTGTCTGTCATGTGCAGTTCCTTTTTTGAAAGTTATTTGAATGATGTTTTAGGTGAAGACAGCCAGTGATTAAGCCACAAAATCTCAGTGAATTTTGTGTTTGTTAAGAGTGGTTCAAATTGTAGTATATTTAAAGATTATTTATACTAAAAAGTAGTTGTAACAGTGATGTATTAGGTTCATATATTTCTCTGTTTTGAATGAAAAACGCAAACTGTTTTTGTATCAGTTCTTTCTCTTCTGTTTTAGCTCTCTCTCATGCACAAATAACCTTCTTTCTCTTAGCTTTAGAACCCTGAAAAACCTACAATTGGTATCAGAGCTTCTTTGATCTTTCAGGACCAGAATACTAACTCAAAAAAGCTTCTCCATGGCATCTAGTTCTGCTCCAATCTCTGCTCCAGTTTTCAATAGTGACCAGTACCATGTTTGGGCTGTCAAGATGAAAACATATCTGAGGGGCCATGGCTTGTGGCAATATGTGGAAGAGGAGAAGCAAGTTCCCCATCTTGGACCCAACCCAACGCTAAACCAGATAAGAGCTCATGAAGAAGAAGCAGCCAAAGCTCCAAGAGCATTATCTTGTATACATTCAGCCGTGACAAATCAGGTCTTCTCCAGGATAATGGCATGTGAGACACCTAAACAAGCCTGGGACACTCTCAAGGAGGAGTTTGGAGGGAGTAACCAGACAAGAAATAAGCAGGTTCTAAACTTGAGAAGAGAATTTGAAGTACTCAAGATGCAGGACAGAATCTGTCAAGGAATATGTGGACAGACTCATGGCTGTGTGAACAAAATCAAGCTGCTAGGGGAAGACTAACCACCCAGAGTGGTGGAGAAGGTCCTGGTCAGCTTACCTGAGAGGTTTGAAGCAAAAATTTGGTCCCTAGAGGACTCCAAAGATCTGTCCCGAATCAGCTTGGCTGAGCTGGTTCATTCACTTCAAGCCCAGGAACAAAGAAGGCAGCTGAGGCAAGAAGACTCAACTGAGACAGCCATGTAGTAGGTCAAAAAGGAAGGGTACAAGGAAAGAAAGACAAATATATTGGTGAAAAAGAAAAGAAAGAGCACATCAAGGAGGGAAACGTGGAGGACAAAGATCATTTCCTCCATGTGTGCACTACAAAAAAGAGAACCATCCAGAATATAATGTTTGGTTCAAACCTGGCATACAATGCAGGTCATGCAAGCAGTATGGAGACATAGAAAAAGTGTGTAAAAGCAAAGGAAATCACAGGAGCAGCAGGCTGCGGTGGTGGAGGTCCAGCAACCAAATCTAGAAGCAGAACAACTCTTCATGGCTTCATGCACAAACCACACATGTGTGATGATGTAGGCTAATTGATAGTGGTTGCACAAACCACATGACTCCATCTATCAAGTTTTGTGAGCATTGATAGACTCTTTCACTCCAGTCAAGTTGGCAATGGAGAATTTGTGGAAGTCAAAGGAAAGAAGGTTGCTGTCCCAACTACATTAGGCACCAATTATTACAAATGTTCTTTAGTACCGAAATCAACCAAAGCTTGCTGAGTGTGTCAAATGCTAGAAAAGAACTACTCCCTACATTTTCAAAATATGTCTTACATTGTAGTTGACAACTTAGGGAATGAATTGATGAATGTGAAAATGCTAGGAAAAGTTTTCCAATTGAATGGAAAAACTCAGCCTTGCATGCCTTGTCTGCAAAATGTGTTGAAACTGAAACTTGGCACAAAGACTTGGGCATTATCATTATTCAGGTCTTAAGGAAATGAGGAGGAGAGAACTTGTTCAGTGTATGCCCTAAATTGAGGAGAAGGAAGGGGTATGTCAAGTTTGCCAACTGGGAAAAATCAGTAGACAACCATTCCAGCAAAACAATCCTGGAGAGCTGCTGAAAAGCCTCAGCTTATACAGACAGATTGTGTGGTCCAATGCAGGTGTCCTCTCTAAAAGGCAGTAGGTATTTTCTGCTGTTTATAGACGATTTCACCAGGCTGTGTTGGGTCTACTTCCTGAAACAAAAGGGAGGTGGCTGCAATGTTTAAGTGTTTTAAGCAAATGGTGGAAAATGAAACTGGTTTGAGTTTGAAAACCATCCGGAGTGACAATGTTTCAGAGTATACCCCAAATCAATTTCAAGAACTGTGTGTAGGGTCTGGAATAAAGCACCAACTGAGCTCTCCTTACACACCACAGCAAAATGGTGTGAGTGAAAGAAAGAACAGAACTATAATGGAAATGCAAGGTGCTGCTGTTTGAAAAGAGACTTCCGAAGTTTTTCTGGGCTGAAGCTGTAAATACAGCAGTTTACCTTCTCAACAGGTTGCCACCAAAGCCTTGGATAACAAAACACCATTTGAGGCTTGGTATGGAGTAAAGCCAAGCATCAACCACCTCAAAGTGTTTGGAAGCATTTGTTATCCTCACATTCCAGCCATAAGAGGAGTAACGGATGAAAAGGCTGAAACTAGAATTTTTGTTGGTTATAGCACTTATCCAAAGCATATAGGATTTACAATCCTAAGACCAAAAAATTCCTGGTTAACCATGATGTAAAAGTAGATGAGAAGGGCTGTGGAACTGGGACAGAAATGAGATTGAAGGAGTAATATGCAAGAACAAGGAGGAGACTTAATAGCTACTCAGGATACTCCAGATTTCAGCTCTGATTCTGAAGCTGATTCTTCAATTAGGGGAACTAGACCTTTGGCTGAAATTTATGACAGATGTAACTTGGCCTTGATGGAACCAACATGTTATGCTGAAGCAGCCAATGTTAAGAGTGAAGGCAGCAATGGATAAGAAACTTGACATGATTAAGAAGAATACAACCTGGGAACTGGTAACTAGACCTGCCGGAAGAAAGATTATCCAGGTGAAATGGATTTATAAGAAGAAATTGAATCCTGATGGTCATTAACAGACACAAAGCAAGGCTTATATTGAAGGGTTATGCACATCAATTTGGGGTGGACTTTACTGACACCTTTGCACCAGTTGCAAGGCTCGACACCATCAGAATCCTTCTTGCAATTGCAGCCCATTTTAAGTGGAAATCTTCCAAATGGATGTGAAATCTGCTTTCTTGAATTGGTGGCTTGATGAAGAGCTTTGTGGAGCAACCTGAAGGTATACGGTTGAAGGACAAGAGATAGGTGTACCTTCTTAGGAAGGCTCTTTATGGATTAAAACAGGCCTTAGGGCCTGGTACAGAAGAATTAATGAATTCCTAATGAGTTTGGGGTTTGAAAGAAGTCTCATGAGCATACCTGTATGTTAGAGAGGTTGATAATGAAAGGATATTTGTTCCTTGTATTTTGAGATCTGCTGGTGACAGGTCCTAACTCCACAGCTGCTAGATTTATCAAGAAGAGTTGCACAAGGAATTTGAGATGACCGACTTAGAGGAGATGAGTTTCTTCTTGGGAATGGAAGTTGGGCAGTCCCCTTATGGCATATTTATCTCCCAAGAAAGGTATGCTAATGAACTTCTCAAAAAATTTGCAATGGAGAACTGCAAACCTGTCAACACACCTCTAATGCAAAATGTGAAGCTAGTAAAAATGATGGTGCTGCTAAGGTTGATGAAACTAAGTATAGAAGCATAGTTGGGTGCTTGTTGTACTCGACTGCAACAAGGCCAGACATTATGTTTGCAGCAAGTTTCTCTCTAGTTTCATGAATGAACCAAGTGAGCTGCATTTGCAAGCAGCAAAAGAGTCCTCAGATACATTAGAGGATGTCCAGACCTGGGAATATGGTTTAAGGAACTGAAAATTTCAGTTTGCATGGTTTCACACTGACAGTGATTGGGGTGGCTCCTCGGATGACATGAAAAGCACCTCTGGATATGTTTTCTTTGTGAATGCAGGTGCCATACTGGAATTCAAAAAAGCAAGAGGTGGTAGCACAATCCACTGCTGAGCTGAATATGTACTACTGCTGCTGCAGTCAACTAGTTGGTTTGGCTGGAAAGATCTTGAAAACTTAAGGCTGGAACAGACTCAAGGAATTGTGCTGCACTGTGACAACCAATCAGCAATTGCTATGTCCAAGAATCCAGTACTCCATGGTCGCACAAAGCATATCAGAATCAAATATCATGCAGTGAGAGAGGCAGAGCAGATGGTGAAGTAAATCTGATTGCATTGCAGGGAGAGGAGCAAGTGACTGACATAATGACCAACCTTTAGGCAGATCCAAGTTTGAAGGATTAAGATTCAGACTTGGAGTTTCCAGCAAAATATCAAGGAGGAGTGTTGAAGTAATGATTTTTGCTGGAAATCATTTTGCATGGTTGGTTTGAAAGTTGTGCGCCAGGTTTTTGAATTAAAAGGGCTGTCTGTCATGTGCAGTTCCCATCCTTTTTGGAAGTTTTTGAATGATGTTTTAGGTGAAGACAGCCGG